TGAGACAATTCTTTATTAGGGTTCCGTACCCAAAGGGTAAAACGGGATCCTATTAATAAGACTCCGCTGTCTGTCTGTTTATCCGTCTATCACCAGGCTGTATGTAATGAACCATTATAGTTAGACATTTGTTATTATAGCTCGGTCGGTAATCGAGCGGCCCCAAAACAGACGGCCGCGGTTCATATCACGATCATTTACACACTTATTTTTTTTACTTTTTTTCTATACCAGATCATTTTCTTTATTTTTTATTTTTTTTATTTCCAAAATACATGATTTACCAAAAAAACCGAGCAACGCTCGATCCTCCAGATACTATACTATTAACTATACAAACGGCAAAAAATCATGTGTGCTTTATCCTCTCCGTTCACCTGTAATGTTTGGAAACGGGCATATTGACACTTTCTGCAAATGTCTGTGCAGCAGCAGCGACGGAATTCTGAAGGCGATCGCCCAAGTTTCACCGCCGCATCAAGTAACACTTGCTAGAGAGTTTTATAGTAAAAGAGATTGTAAGACAAAACTATCAATTATAACGTAACATGCTCAGTCTGAATAAAAATCTCTATACATAAATTTCTAAAGTTGATTGCACCAAACTTTTAGGGTTGACAATCAACAAAAGATTAAAAATTAATATGTGATGTGCAAGTTAAACACAAAAGACTGCTATAAATAATCTTTTATTAAATAATATAGTGTCTATCATGCCATCCGTTATACATATCGCATACATCTTTGAAAGTGCTCTGTTTGTGAAAAATGAAATGGCCCTTTTCCCCTGAGCGAAGCAGACGTGACATTTACTCGTATAAACTATGTTTACTGACAACTAACACAGCACTTATGAGCAAAAGCATATTCCGCATTGCATCAAAAGTATGTAATAGGCTCCCAGATGAAATAAAGGTTTCACAAATTCACAAATTTATTTAAGAGAAAACTACGTAACATTTTGATAGCAAAATTATTACGGTATTAACGAATATTTTTCAAACATATAACGAATTTCTCTTTTCCCTAATTTATTTCATGAATTGTGGCATTCAATTATATCCAAAATTTTTCTTTTTTAAGTAATGATTATTTCATTATTATTCAGTTTTGTTGTTTTCTAATTTTACATACACATAATATCCTTTGATTGACATTATTTCGATTTTATATAATTTGACTGTAAGGATAGATTTGGCCTGTAAGGATACCGTAGGCCACATACACATTTTGATTTACAGAAGACCGAAGAGTATATATAATCTGCCTAGGCATAAGCCTAGCGTATATGGGTAATGAAAAAACCTTCGATTCTGTCGAAATTTCGGCGGTACACCAGAGCCCTCAGCGGAGATTTTACTGTCCGTAAATCGAGATTCTGGGGTGTTTGTATACAAGGCTACGATGTCCATCCAACTGCCGAAAGTTATAAGACAGTGTGATGTCATATCCCCGAAACTCTTCACCGCTGCTTTGAAAGATGTTTTCAAGCCTCTGAACTGGAAAGGACATGGTATTAATATCAATGGGGAATACATCACCCACAATTACAATGAACATGGTAAAGACGAAGATCATGTCTTCCATGTCATAACTGTACCGGTATATATTTTGACTCGAAGTTGTTGACGAATATGTTTACCGTGGACAGATAGTTCGGTTAGTCAATTAAATTCAATTAATCAGTTAGGTTATCGGTTAGATAATTAAATTAGATTAATCAACAATACGCAGAGGTAAATCGGCGAATCCATTAGTCTAATGTTTGAAGACTAAGGTCTTCAATCAACGTGTGTTGCCAGTGATGACCTACGTAACCGAGACTTGGTCTGTCACTGCTGGACGTATGAGGAAGCTCATAGTCGCTCAGCATGATATGCATGGTATTTCTCGGCGTAATAGAGTTCGCTACGAAGACATCCGCAGTAGATCAAAGATAATCGACATAGCTCAGAGGAGTAGTAAGTTGATGAGCCGATGGGCCAGCCATGTAGCTCGTAGAACCGATAACCTATAGAGAAAAAAGGTTCTTTAGTGGCAGCGTCGTATTGGCCGCCTTAGTATGGGAAAACCCCCACTAGATAGACGACCAGTGCAAATGTGCAGGAAGTCGATGGATGCTGTGGGCCTGTGTTTAGCAGTGGACTCAAACTGGCTGAAATGATGATGATGATGACTTTAAGATATATATATATATATTCTATTATGATTATTACAATTCAGACTATAATATACTGACTTAAGCATATATACTGGCGGCCTTTCAGCAAACGTATAATTCTTTACACACCCTGTAAAATGGGTAGAATATAACAATGTAGATTAGATTAGAGAAATCTCGAGGGCCTGTAGGTGACACGCGTGACCTCAAACAACGTGGAGCGCCGTAAGAAGCTCTGGGTTCTGGCTAGCCCACGAGTTCTGCGTTCGATAAAGCTTTATTACTTAAAGCAAAAACAATAGTCAAAGTAAAAGTAAAAGCCGGTCATAACAAGTAGGTCAAAATCGCTTTTATTTTTAATTGTTGCGGAAATTCGGTGCTTACGTAAAATTTTTATTCGACAGCATTTGGAAGGTTATTGCATATGGGCCAATAAATATTATCGTTTAAACACTTTCAGGCTTTAAATTACAACTTCTTTGCCTTAAGTTAGTGAACAATGGAACAGATAGATTTTTCTGCGGTATCTTACATGCCGTTGGCCCTGTAAGCTTTAGATTCCATAAATTTAATGCCACTGAACTATATTCTTATGTTATCTCTGAACCTAGGTGCTGTATTCGTATTTACAATATTATTAACTTATCTCAATAAACATCACATCCTTTTATCACACGATAGCTTCTTATTTACTTGCATTAAACTAACATGTAATTATGCATTGAACCCTGTGACAAGATCTCATGGATCTATAAAATTCAAAGGAACCTATTCAAAGGAAAAAATACAAAGGGTGGTGGTTATCACTTAACATCAGGTGAACTGCCAACTCCCTTACCACCTTATCATATAAAAAGGTTATATAATTTAATATGGAGCAATTACAACAGAATGAGCAGATAATTTCTGAGACAGATGCTTGACAAAAATTGTAACTGGAAGGCACATACTGGCGAAAGCAGCAGAAAAGTTAAATATATTTTTATATGTCTATGTTTTTAATAGATAAAAAAAAACGTCTTCACCTCAAACTGCTATCACAGCCTCTGTCACGGGGAGTCGGACCCATAGTCTAGGTTCCCGCCAGATAACACTACACACACACACACTTTGTGCCACAAATACCATAGTTCATCTTCGCCTACGAACACGACGAAATCAACACAACGCGTACACTAGGTCACTTTGCAATCAACTTCATCATGGCGCTTTAAAATGTTTTTTTTTTATTTTTTTTTTACATTGTCCTTACTTTAGGATAACATTATCCTGTGTTGTAAGGACATTTTACAAACATAAATTTCACGCGGACAAACACCCAGATGCGAAACAACTATCTGTGGGTCACACAAATAGTTGTCCCGTGTGGGAATCGAACCCACGACCCCCGACGCCGAAGCCGATACCTTGGCAACTACGCCACGGAGTTATCAAATTTTACTATAATAATTTTCCAACTGCGCCAAAAGAAGTAACTTCAAAACTATTGTTTTAGAAATCAAGTATATTTTCTCGAGGGTAGAACACAAAATCAGTCTGATTAAATGTATTTCACAAAAATATTTGGCCAACAGATTTAATTATATTGGAATTATATTAGAATGTAGAACAAGGACAATGAACAGTAAACGTACGTATATACAAATGGCAAATGTAAAGGACACTAACGTTGGCGCAATTCAATTAAAATAAATTTAAAACGATAGATAAAATCACTAATAAATTAATCCACAAGCAGAATTCATCGGTTGCTTTTAGTTTTCGAGAAAAAAAATTAAAACTTGTTATTCTCACTAAGAAAGTCCACTATTTTATTAATTTCACTACAACGAAGCGGAAGCGGGTGTATGTATTTGATTTTTTTTAATGATTCACAGAACCAACACGGAGCAATCCGATTCGGATAGGTAGTTTAGGTTAGAAGGTTCAGGCGGGTGCGGAGCTCCCGCCCTAAGCTTCGTGGTTATTTTCTTATCACCATCCACAAATAGTAGCAGAATAGTAGCGGATTTCTATAGCGAATTCTGCTTGTTAATTAATTCATTAGTGATTTATATCTATCGTTGAAAAATTTATTCAATTGTATTAAGCTAACGTCAAAATTGTTTACATTTACCTTAACTATGATTCTGTAATTCTGTAATTTCAATTAAAGAATGTCAGTGGCCGTCTCGAACAGTTATTAAATAAATAAATATACCTATTACTATTTTTTTTTTCATCTGATATCGTTCAAATCACTGACTGATTATAAATATATGTACATTTTTAATTTGCTCACATAATAAAATAATTAAATCTTAAAAAATATAATTATGTAACTTGCTCGTAAATTTATAAGTACACTTTTTCTCTATAATATTTAATAATTATGATTTTTTTTTTCTTTTTAAAACATTTGAATTTGCAAAATTGAATGCGGAGAAATGTAAATGAATATTACTTTATATTTAAGATATACACACACCTAGCATATCTCAGAAAATAAAATTTATTGTAATTAGACAGTATTTTGCACTATCGTGCGTCGTGATGTGTAGCTAGCCAAGTGTAAACAACATAATCTGCGTAATCAGTGATTGCACCTACCGCTGTAATCACTCATTGTTGGAAACGCAGCGACATAGAAAGGGGATGCTCATATCCGGCTTCACAGGATGTCTCGTTCCGACACCGGACGCGTCAGAAATAAATCGTAGAACTGTTTTCAGCGAAACTGAGATGTGCAATGAATAGCTCTAAAATAATAAAACCCATCGAAACGTTAATGATTATGTTATGAAAACATTTCGCAATGCATAACTATGCCAAGAGAGAGTGCCGCGTATAATTAATTTTGATGTGTCTCGTGTCACCGTTAGCGGGCAATAACGGTTGGATAGCAGCGTCGAAGACGATGGCCGCCCCACCAGCGGCGGGATACTTGATGTGTCGAGTCCGCGCGATGTTGCACGTTAGTTGGTGAGCGAGCGCTGTCGCGGTTCGGCTTTGGAGCGTGGTGAAGACATCGCAGACAACAGTCCCCTATGGTGTACCCGAACATTGCGCGACGGTGTGTTTAGCGACTCCGTGGCAACGTCGCGCCGCGAGTGTTGGCGGTGTGGCATAATACTTTGCACGCTTCCAAACTTGCCCCAGTGAAAGCTTGCGCGCGACCATCCTAAAAGGTATTCTTGCGCTTTGCACGGCGTCCGGCGCGAAACCCGTTCCGCCCGCTCTGAATCGCGTTGCCGCCGCTTGCGAGTATTCGGAATTTCTTCTTGTTACGCGCGGTAAGGTGATTCGGCAACCTCCTAACATTTCTCAGGCGGTCGATCGTAATATTAACGCTTGTTTATAAAGTGACGGAGAACGCGGTAAGTTGCGATGAGCTAATTAGAGGATGCCAGATGAGTTTCGCGCCTATATCGGTAAACAGATTTGGCGTTTTCCGCTTTTATATATTGTAGCATGATCCATTCAAATCTAGAGACTTGAAGCAACGTAGCAACAGACGCAAAGTTTATGTCGGATTAAGAAGGACATTTCCAATAGTTTGCTTGCGCTGCCGTATGAATCCTGATTAACAATACGTTTATATGTGTGTAATGTTCCATGTGGCTGGTCCTTCCTACTTGAATTTTCATGTTCCATTGAACATTGGAAAACTTTCGTATTCTTCGTTATACAGTACCTTTGTTTTATATACAAATTCACTTAATGTAGGTGAAATTAAGTAACAGATATTGGCGAATGTATTGAATTGTAACTTTAATGCTTTGCGTTGTAAACTCTTGTAGGATAATCATACAACCAGCAGTCTTTGATAAAGTGGTTCCAGTAATTATTTATTTATATATTTTATTTATTTATCTGTTGTAGTAGATTACACTTATGTACTTTAATAAAGGTAAATTTGTGTGTTTGTTTGTACGGGACAGTGTAACTACTGAACCGATTCTGAAAGAAACCCACAAATAAATAGTTACAAATAACAAAAAAACAAATTGATGCAACAATTAACAACAATTAATTGCATGAAAAACGACTGTCAATTGTACTTATATAAAAAGATAACATATAGCTATCTGTAATAGTTTAAAAAACTCACCGTTTGGTTTAAGAAATATGAAAGTTTATTTATTGTCCCTTTTTAAAATGCTACTTACTTCTTTACAACCTGTTCGATAACTTCCTATCTATTTTAATGTATTATTTTTATGTTCTGTTAAACTAAAAATAATGGTAATTGAGTCATACATACAATTGAAATGTCTGTTAATGAGGAAATTAGTTTCCTATTCAAAGGACGAAATCCTTGCTCTTTGATGTTGTGTCAATAAATGTTTCCGTTTAAGCATAGCCCAGATATTATCTATTCAGTCTCATGAAAATTTTATTAATGAAGTACTTACATAAAACGTTCATTTACTAATAATTTATATAAAAGGAAAAATCAGTGCCATAACATATTTATATCATTTCAGATGTGGATAACAATAGTTGCAGTATGCATCATCTTCATTCTTCTGGCGAAGAGTTCATTGAAACCACAGAATTTCCCACCGGGACCAAAATGGCTGCCGATAATAGGCAGTGCCAGGGAAGTGTACCAGTTGCGCGAAAAGACCGGATATTTGTACAAAGCGGTGAAAGAGTTGTGCGATGTTTATTGCAAAGGTGCTCCTGTTCTCGGGCTGAAGATCGGGAAAGATCGAATAGTGATGGTGAATTCACTGGAAGCAAACAGAGAGATGCTATTTAACGAAGACATTGACGGTAGACCAAAGGGTATATTTTACCAGACAAGAACGTGGGGCGAAAGGAAGGGAGTTCTTTTAACCGATGGGGAGCTGTGGAAAGAACAGAGAAGATTTCTGATTAAACATTTGAAAGAATTTGGATTCGGCAGAAAGGGAATGGTCAACACTGCTTGTAACGAAGCGTCATACATGGTGGAGGACGTCAAAAATATAATAAATTCAGGCGAAGGCAAAAACGGAATCTACATGCATAACTTTTTCAACACTTACATTTTGAACACTCTTTGGACGATGATGGCGGGAATAAGATATAATCCGAGCGATCCGCAGATGATTGTGCTCTTGGATCTTCTGTTCGATTTGTTCCGCGCCGTCGACATGGTCGGGACGATGTTCAGTCATTTTCCCATATTGTCAATCGTTACGCCCACAATGTCCGGTTACAGGGACTTTATTAGAACGCATAAAAGGATCTGGAAATTCCTGAGAGAGGAGATTGCGAGGCACATGGAGAACCTCAACACGGACTCGGAGAATAGGGATTTCATGGGGGTTTACTTGAGATTTCTCAAAGAAAACGGCGAGAGAGATACGTATTCGGAGGGACAGCTAGATGGCGATATGTATGGATTTGTTCATGGCTGGTACAGAGACCACGAGCAAAAGCATGAGCTTCGGCTTTAGCTACCTGACGCGCAATCAAGAGGTGCAGAGGAAAGCGCAAGAAGAAATCGACAGAGTGGTAGGGAGAAATCGTATGCCTACGCTAGACGATCGCCCAAAGTGAGTTTAAATATCCTATGTGATCGATTATTGTTAGAATTGAAACGACGCATTATTGTTTCCGATGTTTTTGTAGCATGCCCTACAACGAAGCGGTGGTGCTCGAATCAATTCGCCACTTCATGGGGAGGACCTTTGGGATCCCGCATCGAGCCCTTCGCAATACCACACTGGCGGGGTATAAAATACCAGAGGTCTGACTACCCCACTTATAAGTTTACATAGTAATTACCTTAGTATTAACACATTCCCTTATTAAAATTAAATTGCATTAATGCAATAACGGCGTTTTCAAGTAAAGCTAAATCGATAAGAACACAATATTTTTTTAATGGCTAGAGACTGCTTAAAATGTTAATTTACATCTTCTGCAATAAGTGGTCCCAAAGATTAACACTGAAAAATTCACCAGCAAGAAAGCTTGCTAATCCTGCTAGATAAAACATGTTTGATAATTATGTTTACATTTCAGGACACAATGGTGGTGAGTAACTATACCAACATATTGATGGACGGAACATTATACCCGGAGCCGTACTCTTTTGAGCCGGAGAGGTTCATAGTGGATGGGAAAGTTTCCATTCCGGAGCATTACTTCCCATTCGGCCTGTCCAAACACCGCTGTATGGGAGACGTGCTCGCCAAATGCAACATATTCGTCTTCACGGCGACCTTGCTTCAGAGATTTTTCTTTTTACCCGTCCCGGGGGAACCCCTGCCATCTTTGGATCACATAGATGGCGCCACACCTTCCGCAGCACCCTTTAAAGCGCTGGTCGTTCCAAGAATGTGACATTTATGCGGTGACTGTGAACGTTATTCGTTATAGTACATGTTCTGGTGTTGTGTGAAATATATACGCGGAAGTCGTGAAAACTTTGCGCATTTTACATAATCCAACGATATAAATATCGATTTTTAATTAATTCTTGAATGCTACCGAAGTCAACATATTATGTAATTTACGATATTTACTCGAAAGTGGTCTACTCGATTATTATAAATACATTAAAGGAAACATGATATTATTAATCTTTGACAGTGTAACTCACCAATAACTAATTAACATCCATGTCACGTAACATTTAATAAGTCTATTCTATTCATTTAACTAATTCTAAGTAATCGAATATCATAAATTAATGGAGAAATAAAAACAGGCTGTCTGAAAAATATTTTTTATATATATACTTTAAAAATATTTTCTTAATATAGTGGATCAAACTTACAATTCGTAACCAGTGCTTGTGTTCACAGTAATAAATGTACTTAAATCTTATCAATAATTATTCATAAGCCCGACTTCATTTCCATAAACATATTCGAAAAGTAAAATACTGATAAAAACGAAATGTTCCTGATTGTATAACGCTGCATGCAGATTGCTCGTTGGCGTAACTTGCGTAACGTTTCTGTTGCTAAACTTTGAAGACAGGAACTCGCTTCATTCACAAATTTTAAAATTTCCTTGGTATGCTTATCAACAAGCAGCTTAACTAAAAGCCGAATGTTTTACAATGCGCAAATCTTAAAGTCCTTTTGAACGTAAACTGTACAATAAACAAACATTTCGCAACTCATTTTTAGAAAGTTGACGAGGTGTTATGAACGGGAGCCGGCCGTTTTAAAATATACCTTTTCTCCGTGTCTTACGATTCATTACATATCATTCTGAGAAAAAATGTCACTTCGAAAACAATGTTCAGCAACAGAAACAATGTTAACTTTTATTTAGGTTTTTCCTTGCAGAATTGCCGTTTCATACAAAATAAATTAAATATCTCTAATAATTTATCGGTTACTGTTGATGCCCATTTGACATTTTAACGGAAGTTCATTGAGGCAATTGCTATAGAAATTCTGGAGACGATAATTGATAAACTCTGTAATGTGGAAATTTAATTTCGTTATTAATTATAATAAATACTGTCCACTCCAGCGTCCTTGATATTGTAAATGTGTATGTCTATTTATGACAAGTGTCTACGGCTGGACTCAGCTAGGCAGATCCAATTTAGAGAAAGGGGTCATTCGACGAATCGACGTTTTTGCGTCCAGAATAAGACAAAGTCTATAGACAAAAGTCTTTGACCAATGCGTGCTACCAGTTATTGCCTATGATCTCTAGGCATAACCCTCCCAAAAATACTCAGTGTCGCTCAAAAGGCAATGGCCTATACTCAGGGTTGCTCTGCGAGATTCATTCCTTGCGACATTATTCCTTAAAGCAATGTGTGAGTATACGTGTTAAAAAACAACTCCCTTCAGGCCGTAAGTACGAGAAATACCTATTTAATTATAAATAATGGAATCGAATGTTAAGGAATTAGCTTGGTCAGAAGCTAATGTCATATACAGTTGACCGCTAGTGTTAAGGCCCATTTACACGATGCCATTTTCTTGTACATACAAGAGCAATAATTGAATGCAATAAATTGCGCGCAATAATTTGTTAGACCATTTGTTGTTTAGACAATGCAACTCATTTATTGCTTCAATTTAATTGTATACAACAGGCAAGAAACTTGCACCGTGTAAATGGGCCTTTATAATGCATGAGGCATTCAAGACGTGTTTATTTTTTTTTATTAACATTTGATATTTGTATTAATTAGAAGATAGTTCAGATGCCATGAATGGATTCATTGTTATATTTTAAGACTGATGTTAACTTAGTATCATAATTAAGTACAATTGTTGATTAAAGTAATGGATAGTTATTTTAAGTATCAATTTGTATAATGACGCAATTCAAAAATTTTTTGTCATAACCAAGGGTGACTCTCCAATTATTAATTAACCCTTTACTATTATGTATTACTGACTGTTATTTAGAAAGTATAAGCAATTGTCTTATAAGAAAATGTAGGTATAGACTTTAGTAAAATGACTTTCTAGATTGTTATTTGCGTTTCGAGGCGAAAAAACAACGTTATCAAAGCTCAACCTTAGACAGAAACACATTACGACAGAGATAGACATGGTTCAATTCCCACACCGGATAGATATGGACTTACACATATTTGTTTCAGATCTGGGTTTTTGTCAACGTGAAATATATGTATGTAAAACGTCCTTATAATACAGTATAATGTTATCCTACAGTAAGGAAAATATTAAAAAAAAAATCAAAAACACTGAAGTAAAGTGGTGTCTTTAGCACTTCGTTGAACGTTCTTTCTATTGTATTTTTAGCAATACTTGGCGCCATCTAGTGTGCATCTTTTACAGCATAGAACACCTTACAAGTTCAATGACGACCATTACAAATTTTCGTCGTTGAACGAGAGATGTCACCATTGGTCCTAAAATTTTTAGGATTAATTTTTATTTTTAGTACTAGACTCTGCACTTCAGATGTAGCTCGGTTCCCCGTTCCTGATTAGAGGAATATAACGATTTGCGTTTTGTAAAGTCGCTTACACGATCAACTTTGGAATCAGCGGTACTCGGCAACATTCTGTTGAGAACATGTGATATGCAGTAATAATCATTTGGAACATGTTGTACCTGATGATGATTCTATGTGTCATATTCTGGCATTGACTTCCGCAGGTGGCAGAAATTGATCTTAGCAGCATTACTTACTCACACGTTGTGTCTTGAACTTGTTGAAGATTCATTATATTGGAATTAATGTAAGGAGAAGTAAAAGATTAAGGAATCACATCAAATCGTGTATTTATTAATATATTATGACATCAAAGATACACATACAACAATTACATATCTAAATGTTTAAGAATATCGATAGTTTATTCAGTTATTATACTTATGCGAGAACATGAAAAGTAAATTAGTAAAAAGTAGCTTGTAACATAGTAATAAATTATAATTAACAACATATTAAAAAATATAATATTATCAAGATGCAGTGAATTTATGTCGTCGTTGAAATAAACTGAAAAAAATCCTTCAATAGTACGTCGCTCCAATATTAGTTTCAGTCAATTGTTCTACAGTTTACAAACTTCTGTGAGTTCATCGACCTGTAGGTACTTATCACAGTGAAAGTAATACATTATCCGAAATATGTGCTATCATCTTACATTGCGTTCAGTTGAAGTCGGACATTAAAGTTAAACTTTAAAGCCGAAATCACTTCTATTAACTTACTTTTAAGCCACCCCATAGTTAAAAAGATTAATACGATTATCATTCAATTTGTTTATTTTAAAGTTAACAGGTACCATTGGAACGAAAAATATTTGTTCAATACAGTAGTTTTATTTCAATAGTTTCAATAATTTTCTTTCGTCATGGATTCATTCGTTATTTAGCTCATTGATAATAGGAATTAAACTGGATGCATATAAATTACTAGCAATGAAACATTTTAAGGGCATATAACATCAAATAAATGATAGCATAGAGTGGCAAACAAAGATCATAATAATATCAGTTAAACTTTTAAGTAGGTAATCAACAAATCTGTTGCTTTTTAATGTAGTCTTGTTCTTCTCCCATGTATGCAAAAATCATTGCAGTCTAATTTTGAGATAACGATCACAGAATCCCGCAACTATCCAAAGTTATTACAAAATCCACCAAACTGTAATATGGTGACGTTAATCGCTTCCCATGTCCTTGATAACTTTTCAAATTCGTTATAGATTGGAATTGTTTTCCAAACTCGCTACGAATTTTCATAGAAAGGGACACTATTAAAGCAAGGGGGTGTTTCAAAATCGATTAACGCCGCCAAACAAGTTGTTTAACACGACCGAAGAACAAAATGGCATCTCAACCGAGTTATTGAGAATGATTTGCACATACGACAAATAGTGTGAATGTCCTAACCATATAATAAAATTATAATGATAACGTCCGGTTGTAATAACTAAAAGGAGCAAATCTAACTGGAAAAAATGGGTAACAATGAGACACGACGGTGACAGCGTTGCGTGAGCGAACGTACAGTGCCCTGAGGTTGGTCATTACTCAAACTTCGTTACGTGGAAAGTACGGTGAGTGACGTAATAAACTGCGATTTCTTTTTTGCGCTAAAAATCGCTTTCGGCTCCATTGGGCCGTTGAAGCGTGGATCAGCTTTCACAACGGCAGCGACGCGGCGTTTGCACGACGACGTTTCGCTTACTACCGACCCCGGTTATTTAACGTGTTTTGTACGTGATGAGTTGGCAGCGCGAGCGGGCGGCCCGCTTGATGTTAAGTGATTAACGCCTGTTGCAAACGCGTTGCTATCCTTTAGAAACGTGGGCCCCGGCTACCTCGCGCGCCAGATGTATCGCGAAAGTATACTTCCACAATTATTGCTTGTGTTTACGCGATTTTCATTTAGTAATATATACTTCCAATTCAAGCGTGGCTTCTGTGAGGTTGTGGACTCCCGGACGGGCCTGCCCAATCGTGCAACGTGACGCTACCGGTGTTTTAACGTAACGTGTCCGAAGTACGCTTTAGTTCGACCGCAGCTGTAATAGCTCTGGTAGCAATTAAATTGTGTTTTATTTTATTTAACTAGTCATTTGCTGTTAATGCACGTGTGAAGGCGTTTAGGAACGACGCCGACATGGATGATGGTTATGCTGTTATGTCGTTTTCGTTAAAGATTTAATTAATATTAGAATCACTAGAGTAGTTATTTTATATATACATCTACTTTCTTCTCTTCTTTGGCTTTAATTAAAGAACTATATTTGTATAGTTCTAGTTTCTTACTCCCGAATCTCGATGACCTAAAGTCTTTTTTTTTAATATTAAAGTAACTTCAACTTTCCTCGCTGACCCTGTAACCCTGTCCACCACCTTCAACACTCCACTCGCGCCAATTCGAAAAATAAAGTGCAAATAAAGTGAAACAGAAAAGAACCGACATCTGCCCGGACCACGAGTACCCTGATAAATATTTTTGGTGTCAAGTTAAACATTAAAGTTTAGAATGTAATGCCTAATAATTACACATGAATAAATAGATCACTTATACTAATTATATCTAACATTCAGATCATAAATGTTATGTGCAGTGCAAAAGCGTTTTCAGTTTTAGACGTGGCTACTTTTAGGTTACTTCGCCTAAAAATTTGAAAACTGAAGAAATTGAGTTGAAATTTATGCACTTAGACAATGGTCTTCGTATATTTAGTACCTTCTTTTACTACTTTTCAAATGCTTTTGTTCTAGGTTGTCAAAAACAGCATATCTATTTGTCGGACAAACTAGTGCAGAACTCGTCTGACGTTGCTGGTTCTTTATCATAAGAAATAACCTCATAAGAATGCAGAATTTTTTTAAAAGAATGCACATATCACACTTAAAGATTACCTTAGCCCACTACAGACAGATATTAAAACACTATTCTACTAATAATACATTTTTGTTTTGAGATTTCTTAAATATGATATACATCGATAATTCTGCAACATAGAACTGGATTGGAATGCTATAATGAATTATTAATATAATTTGAGTTATGTAATGTTTAGTCAATAACAAAGATAAAGATAAAGAAGTGGCTATGGTTAATCTGTCAATTGAAAAAAACACAAAGTTAGGCAAATTACACGAAGAAATAAAATCGCATACAATATTAAATTAAAACGGACATGGAGATTCTTTGATAATAATATATATATCTTTAAAAATAATATCTTTAAAATATCTTAAGAACGCGAATGTAAAACGAACGCAATTCTGGTCTGGCAATAAATTAAATATAATTAATGGAAAGTTGCAATACACAGGGGAAACTAATTTTTTTTTGTACTTTTGTTTTTATTCCTACACACAGATTGTACTTTACTACTCATAGAATTAAGAGAATCTAAATTGTTTTTCTATATTTCCTATGTCATATTTTCCCAACCACATAGACAATAATAATACTAAAAGCGAAAATTCAAACGCTATATAAATATCGTTCATATTGGAAATTAGAAGAACATACGTAGGAAGCCCCAACTTATACAGCGTGTCGTTACAACCGCGACAATAAATGAACAGACTTATAGAGGACAACTTTTTAAAATTGTATTAAACATTTACATTCTTAAAACATCAATTTTCACCAAGTTATTAAATTTTACAAAACAATCAAACAATCAATTTTAGAACATCCTTACATATAAAACTGTAACGTAAAGTTTATTTGTATAGGACACAAAGCATATGAATGGGTTGAATGAATTTAAAAGAGATAAAACATACTTTTAGAAGGAGAGACTTGTAACGCGACGCTGTGGCTACGAATGAAAACGTCTCTGAATGTATGAATCAGTCAGTGGTAGCTGTATAGGATGTTACAAATTTTGTTTCTTTTTTCTTTAATTAATGTTTGAAATTTTTTTTAAATATGATTTTATTTAATTTTGTATTTTTTTCTGATTATTGGCAAGTAGCGTTAGACGTGTGTTCATTTATTGTCGCGGTTGTAACGACACGCTGTATAATCTAAATAGGGCAATATCGTGAACATTTATACGAAAAATGTACAAGTGAAATTACTAAGAAGGTACAATAATATATTGACTAGAGCGCGGAAGGTGTTACATATATGTATAGATCTCTATCAGCCTGTTTTAGTCCGTCAGTGGGCTAAAACAGGCTAAATGATAATGATAATGATAATGATGATGATGATGGTGATGATGATGATGAAGATGATATAACATTTCATGTAGGCGATTACGTGTGATAAAGCCTTTAGTCGCGAAGGGGAAGGAGCCTCTTCGTAAACCGACGGCGTTTGGTATGCGGTGGTATCTTCAGGCGGTCGAAGCGGTCCCATGGCGTCCTACCCTCATGTCATCCCGACTCTTCCGCCTTCGTCCTGAGCTCGATCTGGAAGCGAGGCGTTGCTTAGGTGCTACTTTTGTTTAGATGCTACATTAAATAGTAGCCGATAGCAGTAAAATTACGACAGACGTTACAATGTAAAACCCGCGTCAGTCTGTACGCACGCAAGTAAACAAAAATGACACCGTCCTCCGTTAAGTGACGTCAATAATGCGTGGTTATCACGAACTAATCATCGGATATATCGACAATTAATCGACTTATTGCAACAATTTTCGAGAGTTTTATCAATAACTTAACTGAATTTGTGGACCGACTTATTGGTGTATATCATGCCTCGTGTACATTCTAACGCGCCTAAAGGGGACACTGCGAGCGGCGCTCCTCCCTATTTGGGTAACTTCAAGGAGCGCTGCAAGTACCCAATGTGCTACTGAGACGTGGCGCGTAGCTTCTGCCCGATTCCTATATTCGTTATGAAAGTCACGAAGCTATGTAACTAACGGCCGTTCGTTGAATATAGGCAGGGCCGGATTTAGGAGAGGGCAACAGGGCCTCACAATAGAGAATTCGGAAAAAATATTTCAAATTCAGACTAGTTAATAAATCGTTACCGCTAAAATTTAATTTCAGGTAATTCTTGTTTCTATTTATATTTATATGTTCGTTAAACAATAAAATAATCTATAATTGGTTTCACAATAAATTATTTATTGGAAACATCGACTGAAAATAATTGTGCATTCTGTTTGGAAAATGATTTGGGGACAAGGGGCCTACACTAGTTAGTTGGCAGACCTCTAAATCCGGCCCTGAATATAGGGACCGGGCACTGGTCGCGTGCCACCGCACCTCGCTGAGTATGACCCAGTAGAAGCTGTCGCTGTTGACGCGCACGCGGATGGCGGTCAGGGGCGCCCAGCCAGCGGGCAGCTCGCCGTCCGCCAGCCCAAACTCGTCGAACTCGCCCACCGCGCTGAAGTTGTCCGCGCCCGACGGCAGCGCCTCCACCACGGCGTCGTAGAACTTGTCCGACGAGTGCTCCGCGTTGCCGCTGCGGAAGGTGAAGCTGCGGCGGCGGCGCACCCGTTAGCGGCGGTCGACGGTTTGGTGGCAGTACGCGATAATTTTGATGGTTCGTTGGGAGCAATCGATGGTTGGTGGGGAGCAATCGATGGTTCGTGGGGAGCAATCGATGGTTCGTGGGGAGCAATCGATGGTTCGTTGGGAGCAATCGATGGTTCGTGGGGAGCAAACGATGGTTCGTTGGGAGCAATCGATGGTTCGTTGGGAGCAATCGATGGTTCGTTGGGAGCAATCGATGGTTCGTTGGGAGCAATCGATGGTTCGTTGGGAGCAATCGATGGTTCGTTGGGAGCAATCGATGGTTCGTTGGGAGCAATCCATGGTTCGTTGGGAGCAATCGATGGTTTGTTAGAAGCAATCGATAGGAGCAAACGATAGTTTGTTAGGAACACGTAATTACACCTTTTCTAAACGAACTAACAAAGAAGATGCTAATAACTGTGAGCTTCCCTATATGGCTATTCCTACAACTACCTCTTGATCCGTTAGCCGTGATACCTCAGTGTGTCTTTAATTTAATTTATTCGAGCGACCTGAGTTCGATCCTCGGTACACACAAAGTAAATTTCTAATTTTAAGTGCTGACTTATCCACGTATTAAGTCTCAGCGGTGAAGGAAAACATCGCGAGGAAACCGGCATATTTCGAAATGATAACAATAAAATATACTACGAAAATATGTGAAGTCCGCCAATCCGCAGTGGGCTGGCAGCAGTGGTGGACTTTGCACTGATACCCTGTTTACAGGGGCCTTTTCCCAGAAGTGGGACATACCTCTTGATCGCTGTGGGCTTCTCGAACCAGAACTCGACCATGTCACCCTTCTTCGGCTTGACACCCCAGAAGTATGTTTGACCCTCGTACGCGCGCTTCAGCGTGTGGTCCGCTTGCTCCACGATATCGGTGCGGAACACCCCCACCGGGGGGTTGACGTGGGGGAAGTAAGTGGGCGCCGCGCCGAAACGGCTGTCCTGCGTAAGAAAAGGAGAAAATATCCCGATTAATGCCCGGTCCCTAAATCCACGAATGCTTTTAGTTACATAGCTTCGTAAATTTCATAACGACTTATAGATAAAAGGCGTGTACGCCCAGTTCCTGTATTAACAAAACGAGGCGTTTCTCTTACGAGCCGTTGCAAGTAAGTAACCGGGCATAAGTAAGTGCTGACAGATGTTGCTAGGAAATGTGGGATGCAACTACAACTGGATGTTATATAAATGTATGTTTAAAAGATAACTGCAACCAGAGGCCGATGTCAAACTCAAACGAGTTCTACGTTCGCGGTGAGGTTGTCGACCGCTTAGCTTTGCCTAGAGCGTTTGAATTCGCAACTCGGATGCTGGTTCGAATGCCGAAATTTTGCATGTTGGGCCACGCAACAGTTTTCGCTGTCGCACAGAAGACCAGCGTGAACTGGAAGATTTATGCTTCTGCGTTTCGTCCGGTGAGTGAGGTAGCCGGGTGCGACTTTATTAAAAGGTGGCGACGCATCTGCAACCCTACGAGTGTTGCAATATCAAGGGCGGCGGTTATAACTAAACACCGGGTCAACCGCCTGCTCGCTTGCCATCTTTTCACATAAAAAATAAAATACATTTTTAAGTTTCATCTCAGGTGCGGACTGCGGATCGTTGAATTACAGAATATTAGCTACGTTTTAAATTTTGCGCCTCCTAAATATATCATGGGTTGGTCGCATACCAAGCTCAAATATATCATTATATGTGAGCTTGGTATAAGGGTATGCAATCGAAACCCAATAAAAATGCGGTAAGAAATCTTTAGGTATTGCGTTCAAATAAATAACCGCAAGAAACACTTACCCTTACTTTCTGTATCTTTCCCTTTAGCGACGAATAGAGCCCGATATGTTGGAACAGCGAGGTCTTATACTTTGGGCGGATATGGCTCTTGCTTTTGCCACACGCTTTCTAAAATGACAAGAAGTTCTTTTTATTACATTGATTTCATATCCTAATGCATAAACGAAGTCACCATACTATATTAAAGTTATTATTTATTTGTACATTATTTTAATAAATTAGAATAACCTTTAAAAGATGGCGCTACAAGGTTAAATTCAATCAGCGCCATCTTTTGCCCCTGCATTAATGTTGATAAAATACCACATAGATGGCGCTGCCCACTTAAATGAAAAGTAATAATAATTCAAATTTAATAAAAATACGGTTACCGTGTTCCTTATTCTTATCACATAAACCAGACCATTTGTAATATACTACAATTATTGAACTCAAATTTATTTTCAACTATCATATTAATTACATAGGTATCTAAAATAAGGAAAGTTTAGAAAACTGCTGAACGTTAAGGATGCGCTTAAGAGAACCTTCCTTCCAAATCGGTTTGGGGCTTTACTAGTGTTGTGTGTTCTTCCTTCACTTCGGCTGTGTTCTAACATAATATTTAGATAACTTTAGTCCTTGTATTGTAATCTTTTTATACAGGGTGCCAATGCAAGACAGGGCTATACGTCCTGGAATAATCTGATTAATTTTTTAAGTTATAAGTCCGACTATTACGTTCGACGTAGATAAGGTAGGTAGAATTTGTACCGTTTACGACCGGCATTACTATATTTATCATACTAGAATTCAAATTTGACTACCTTCCTTAGTGATAAAAATAATGTACACGCTTTAGTCTAAGCTAATATATATGCAACGAATTTGAAACGGCAAGTGATAGGGTGTAAATGTTCGAAACACGATACAACATTTTTTATTATTATTTTGAAAATATGCAGGTTTCACGATATATTCCTTCACCGCTGAGCACTTGATAATTCAGCACTCAAATTAACAATTTCATTGGTGCCGACACCGGGGATCGAACTCAGGCTGCTCGGGTATATTGAATTGAAAGTGAGCGCCCGGACACTGAGCTACCTATTTATGGGTTACAAATTATAATTAGCCACTGAAAATGAGCATTTACATAAAGTTTACTAACTCCGTGAACTCATGGTGAGTGGAAACCTGTTTGGTTCATTTATTTATTTTGTATTTCTTTTATTGTAAACAATTTTCATTTATTTATGTACCAAATAAACTTTTCTTTCTTCTTTTTTGTAGAGATTCCAGTGTTAGTTTATTACAAATAATATGTTTTACATTTTTATTTATTATTGTGCAAATATAGATTTCAGAGTTCGTAACATCGCATATAAACTTCACTTAGTAGACGCAGACTTATTGCATAGAGGCGGTTATGGAATAAAGTTCGCAGCTTTGAAATTGATATTAAATTTCTATGTAAGAGTTGACTATCTATCCAGGAATTTCATTTGGATCTTAAGTATTTTGCTTACCCAAGCAAGTGACTTCGTCGTCGTAGATCTCATAGCCGTATTAAATTTCATATCGTCGTTATTAACTCTTAAGAGGTGGAATTTTTAGACTTTTAAATTTAGAATTAAACGGGCATTTTAAAACCGCAGAGTTGAATTAAATAAAAATGCTTTCTTAGTACAATACCTACAGTATATTATCATAGTATCACTGTAAAACCAGAGAGGATTTGTGAACGTTCCAGTCGAAATTTTTTTACGTCTTCGGAATTCTAAAATCAAGGCCCTCGGAAATAATTAAATTTCTTAATTTCGGAAATAAAATATTTTGTTCTTGTTTGTACTCATTTTAATTTGCTAATGGTAATTTGTAACCCATAAATACTTAGGACGTCTTTGACACTCTTCGGGTTAGTTATCGATAACTTTCACAATCTCACCCACCATGTAAATGCTTCTCGGTAGCCGCGACTGGAGAGTTATGGTACTTCTAAACGAAATAAAAATCTCCACTTCCAACTCCTGAGTTTATTATTTTTATTACATTTCGTTCGTCGGGATGAGTGAGATTACTTCTTTCTTAAATGTAAAATTTTACGATGCGCACACCAACACTCGAATACCAACGCTACGGTAATAGCAACCAATAACAACTTTTTGATATTTAACCATAATTCTAAGTCATTTAATTATACCTTTATCTATTGCATTTAAAGTCAATTGCACAAACAAAGAGCACGGGGGGAAAATTGTTGGCACAGGGGATACATGTTTTTAGTTATTTCTGTAACGCTAAATTAGTATAACTTCTTACGTCGTAAGCACACACACAACTTTATTTCGTTTGTGTGTTCACTGTTTGTGCAGCGTTGCGGGGGAATGGGCCTACCGAGGTCTTGTCGATGGTGCAGACGCGGTCCGCGAGGTAGCTCTCGAGCAGCCAGTCGATCGGCATGTTCTTGTAGAACAGCTGAACGTAGGTGATGAAGTGCACCAGGTCGGAGGAGCGGAACATCTTGCCAATGCCGCCCACGTGGCAGAACTCGAGGAAGAACCACTGCGGCGTGGAGACTGTGGTCGCAGACGCGAACTGCTTAATGTACTGGAACGGTAAGTGCATCGCATTAGGTAGTTGTGCACACTGCACGCGGTGCGATAGGTATTTAGTCGCTAGCGAACCGCTTGAAGCGCCGAGACGACCGTTTTAGCTCATGAGGTAGTTTTTTTTTTATGTGAAAGTTGCCGAGCGAGCAGACGTTTCACCCGATGTTAAGTGAATACCGCCGCCCATGGACATCTGCTACAACCGAGGGTTCCAGATGCGTTGACAACCTTTAGAAAATTAGGCTCTGGCCACCTCACTCGCCAGAGACGAAACGCGAAAGTATTATACTTCGACTTTACGCCGGTCTTCTGTGAGGTCGTGGTACTTACCCGGACGAGCCTTCCCATTCGTGCAACAGCCGAGGCTGCTACCACCGTGATACTGCATGCAATGCGATAGATATGTTGTCGCTAGCGAACTGCTGGATGCATTGAGACGGTCGTTTTAGCTCATGCGGTAGTTGTGCACACTGCATGCTAGCAATAGATATTTAGTCGCTAGCGAACTGCTGGATGTACTGAGACGATCGTTTTAGCTCATGCGGTAGCTGTGTACTGCAAGCGATGCGATTCGATTATGCGTATTAAATCGAAGCTAATTGTTTCAGGTTTAAATAAAATTGTGTGGAATGGGAAATCTCAGTAGATTTCCCATTCCACACAATACCGATGAATTTAGTAGTTCAATTTGAAATTAAACTTTAGCTGTACCGACAGTGATAGCTCAGTGTCCGGGCGCTCGCCTTTAATTCAATATAGTCGAGCAACGTGCGGTCAAGCCCCCGGTGCCAGCACGATTGAAATTGTTTATTTTAAGTGCTGACTTATCCCGTGTTCAGCGGGGAAGGAAAACATCGTGAGGGACCTACGTATTTTCTCAATAATAAAAAAAAGTATTGCGAAGATATCTGAAGTCCACCATTCCGCAGTGGAGTCGTTTGGTGGACAAGACCCTATCCTCTGAAGACACGCCTTTGCCCAGCAGTGGGACATAAATACGCTGTTACTTCATTTTGGCTGTGCCCAGGGATTGCAATGCCGACAGCTGCTTAGTTATGATTATTAACAATACACAATTGGTCCCCAAGTGGTAATGTCGACAGATTAATTCTCCCAAAATCGCCACAACATGCATTCCTTGAGTATGGATCTTCTATTTTTTCTAAGGATCTTTATCGGTGGTAGAGCCACGCAACAGCCTCGGTTGTTGCACGAATGGGCAGGCTCATCCGGGTAAGTACCACGACCGCAAAGAAGACTGGTGTAAAGTGGAAGTATGACAAATACTTTCGCGTTTCGTCTGGTTAGTGAGGTAGCCGGAGACCAATTTCCAAAAAGGTTGTCAACGCATCTGCAAACCCTCGGGTGTAGCAGATGTCCATGGGCGGCGATATTCACTTAACATCAGGTGAACCGCCTGCTCGTTTGGCAACTTTTCACATAAAAAAAAACGAAATAAGAGATTTAAAATAATGTTAATACAAAGACATGTCAAAAAGGCAGTCCGTCTTAATGCTAATGCCCGAACTGAAACGTAAACATTTCGTCGTATTGTTGCGGAAAATTTTTCGAAATATTGGAAGTGTTGTACGAATTGGCAAGTCCATCCGGGCAAGTACCGGGCAAGTAATTCGGAAGTGTTACACTTCTGGGTTTCGTCTAGTGAGTGAGGTGCAAATGCTCAAGGGCTCGAGCTGGCGATACACCTGATGTTAAGTGATATTAACATCAGTGTATCGCTAGCTCGATTGCCACCTTCTCACATTAAAAAAAATTGTAAGCGCTTCAATCATCGTGGCCATAATACGTGTTTTCATAATGCGATTGTGATAAAACGGGGGCAGCAATTGTACCGTTCAGCATAGATACTCTCTGACTAAACCGATTTAGCGGCTGCCGATGTATTGACACGGAAAGGAACGTCCCATAGCGAACGGGGCACGGCTGGCGGGACAATTTTGACGCAGTTACGCCGCGCTAATGGAGACGGTAAACATTGCAATCCCGATTCGATCGGACGTCGCCGACTGAGAGCTGGAAATTGAAGCCTAAGTCGATTCTGCGCACCGTCCGCTATGTACGGGAGTGGATATGTTAAATTGGGCTTAACAAGCGTAATTCTTTATCGAATACAGCTGACTTCTTGATTTTATTTTATATTATACATGTTAGACGACACTAGTTTACGGCCTTTATCGCGTTTTTATTCTGTTTTGAAGTTGCCGGGACAGTCTGTCTCGTGACCATGCACGCTGGATGGAGTTCGGAACGTCGGGAAGTTCAAATTAAAATAAAAACGCGATAAAATCCGTAAACTCGTTTCATTTAATTTGAATACAGCTGATTTTACTAATGTGTGGCTATCACGGTTCATAGGATACAACCTTGTGACAGACGGACAGACAGAGAGCGGAGCCTTAGTAATAGGGTCCCGTTCTACACTTTTGGTACGGAACCTTACAAAGATGAACGTGTAAAATCCGTAAAAATAGGTTTTAGTAATGTGTATGCGCATAAATACATGAAGTTGATTTTACATATTTTTTTTTATTTTTTTAACTTTTAGTTTTTAATACCCGTAGTTTCAAACCCCCTTACGCGGTTCATGGTCACGGGTGGGTCTGAAAAATTTTTGTCTACTTTGTCATAGTTTTACATACCAACGCAGTACGAGCTTACGGTATCTTATTATTGCAGTATTGGTGGTGTCTTTGATTTAACGTTATTAAATAGTATTCTCGTAAACTAGTAATCGTAACGGTATCACCGTCGTAACGCTAAGTTGAAATCTGATCGCGAGGTCATACCGAAATAAGCTGTAAAATTAAAGAAAAAAACTATATGATAACAAAAGCAGACGAAATGCATTTACAATACATTTGCAGTGGAGCGAAACGCGCAGCATAGCAACGGTACACGAGTTATCACGGTACACGGTTTATCCATTCGCATCGCTTGCACTTCACGCGCTTTTGGCCAACACAAATGACTGTCGCGCAATTCGGTAAATGCTAACGCGGCCGCACCTGCATGTAGTTCTTCTTGGCGATGACGTCGTCCTCCAGCATCAGGTAGAACGTGCCCTTGGTCTGCGCGTAGGACATCAGGTAGATCGCGTCCAGGTTCTGCTTCGTGCGCCACTTGACGCGCTTGACCGAGTCGCCGAGGGTCTGCTCCAGGGTGCTGAAGTCCGGGTAGTAGGAGGGAGACGGCGCCAGCACCTCGATGAGACCGCTCTCGAGGTGCTTAGGGAAGCTGCAATGCGGCCGACGGCCACGAGCCGAGATTGATATTGTTAATTTTAAGCGCTCGCTTATCACGTGCTCAGCGGCGAGGGAAAACACCGCGAGGGAGCACACGTATTTTCTCAATAATAACAGAAATCGAAGATATCAGAAGTCCACCAATCCGCAGTGGAGTCGTGTGGTGGACTACCCTCTGAAGAGATGTGCGTGCGTGCGTGCGTGCGAACGTGCGTGCGTGCGTGCGTGTGTGTGTGTGGGTGAGAGAGAGAGAGGTTATACTTCTTTTACGTTAAAAAGAAGTGACATTTTTGAAGTGAAACTTCTTTATTGGGGTTGGAAAAAAATTTTGTGTAACATTTTTGCGTTACCCGCCATCTTGTTGTTGTGGTTTTAATAGTTGACGCTAGATGGCGTTAGTTCCTTTGTGTGTACATAACAATATATATATATATATGTTATATTATTGTGATCAGCAAAATCAAAGGGTAATTCCACCGAAAACACAATCTGAAGCTGACCGATGTTGCTCTTCGAAGCCTCGATCGGCTCCTGGAACTTGCGGTTGCGACGTCGATCCAACGTCCGCAAGATCGGTTTTCCAAAAAAACTTCACTCACAACACTCGCGCGCGAGTCGAATGTCTGCCTTCTACTCACTGGCTGACTTTTCGGCAACGAAGGACGCAAGTTGCAAGTTTTTTAATCAACAATTTTTGAGGACCCTCATACTAATTACAACGGTCAAACCATAGTGTGTTTTAATTAATTTTTTTCGATGCGGGCGCACACTGCACGAAAAACCTGAACCTGAAGTTAGCTAGACATCTACGTTTGTTTTATTTAATAACAGTTGCTTTGTTCCTAAAAAACCGACATTAGATGTACATTTTACTATTATTTTATAGCTTTATTTTGCATTTACTGTTATTTTGTGCAATCACAGAAAATAAAATATGACATGAACTGTATTGTAATTGAAACTGTTATTATCATTCCATAATTTTAATATTTATTTGACATTAGTTTAATTGGTGCTATTATTATTCATGGTTATCATTTTTTCTATTTTTGTCGATTTTGTTATAACAAATTATTATGCATGATGTGGTTACCTGTAATTGTAAGATACAGTTAAATATATATCTTAAATCTAGACTAAAGCGACTATCTTTATTTAGACTAAAGCGACTGTTACTTGCGTTGGTAATCCAATAAATAAAATATATAAGTATATATACAGCGTGTCGTTACAACCGCGACAATAAATGAACACACATATAGAGGATAACTTTGTAGAATTGTAATAAGCATTTGCATTATTTAAACGTCAATATTTACCCAGTTATTTAATTTTACAAAACAAACATTTTTAGAACACCCTTACGTATAAAACTGTAATGTAAAGTTCATTTCTAATTATGGGTCATTTCAAAAAGTTGTTATCTGTTTGCATGGTAAAAGCAAGAAGTAGGTATTGCTTATTGTGGTGGTGTAAAAAATTCACTCTCATCATTTTCCCCAAACATATAATCATAAATAATTTAGGACATATTTATACACAGCGTCCTCTATTCCCAAACTGACCGATGCTTTCACTATGGGCAGTAGATACCGGATAAACATAATTGAACACACTTTTATTTTGTACAAATGTATAAGCACACAGACACTGGAAAAATACTGTTCATCACACAATATCTTTCCAGTAGTAGGGATCGAACCCTCGGGCGCAAGAGGCACTACGCCAATCGGGCTGGTGTCGGTTAAAATATCGGCGATATGCTCGCGATTTAATTAACATATCAACTTGGGAACGGATGCGACGTCGCTTGCACTCAATAAGCTTAATGCAATCGCGGAACGAAGCGTGTGAGAGTATGCCGACATCGATTCGAGCTTCGCAAACAGTCGAATAGAATTCGGCAGCGAATTCGCCCCATAGCAAACGTCGCTTGAATGCCAAATGGCGCCCAGCGCTACCAACTGACACGCCGCGCCGTCGGCAAACTTCATTACCTCGCGAAATAGTCCCGCGCGAAATTTCGGGAAGCGAATGGAATTAAAATAAATTGAATTGTTTTATTACACCGGCCCTCGGATGCGGCCGATCGATTTAATGAATGAATGAACACTCGTTTTAAGCCATTGCCAATTACCCGATTACCAATAAAAAGCGACGGACCAAATTTATCATGATAGCAATTAATACATTTAATAATCCTCAAAATTGCGAGTGTACAAAAATTTTTAATGCACATAATTGAGACAGAACTATCATATTGTTTTTAAATATGTACGAATTGTTTATGTATTTTATAGAACTATCTATTCGGGTAAATGCTGTCACATTTTTGTTGTGAAATGTTTGACACGTTTTTACAGTAATCATTTCATGGGATTTGTTTGAATTGACGCCTTCACAGTTTTCATCACTGCTGGAGTCATAAACGTGCAAAGGCGACTACTTCTTTTTCTGTCTTCTACTCCTACGATGGAGTGATAAACGAATCTTTTGGTTCTATTCAAATTGTTCAGTAGCTCGAAAATTAAATTTTCCAGGTAACTGCACTGTTGGACGAATGGTCAAGTGCATGCGGGGAGTACCACGATCTCAAAGAAGACCGGCGTGAAGTGATTATACTTTATAGTTAAGTTATACTTTTTGGCTAAGTGTTATACTTGCGCATTTCGTTCCGTGAGAGAGATAGCCAGGGCCCACTTTATTAAAAGGTGGCAACGCATTAGTAACCCTACGGGTTTTGTAAATTTGAACTGCGGTTATCACTTTACATCAGTTGAAACGCCACTTCGCCACGAGGGACACTAGAAAATCTCACAATACGGTATACATCGGTTAGTTAAACAGCAACTTATGGATATGCTTACGTAATTTCGATTTGCCTCGCAGTGTGCACGACGTATTCCAAATTAGTTTCCCCGACAAATACGACGATCAAGGTGGCCGCAAGGTCCGCGTCCGACATTCCGCCGATCAGATGCTGCAATTGGACCTTCGCTATAACTGATATCTTAATCGAAGAGCATTTTTTGCAGGAACACACAGATATGGGATACTCGTTGATGCTAGTATAAGTGATGCTTAGGAATATATTAACGATAGATTTCTCTCCGCGCTTATTGCGTAAGTTGCTAGTGTGGCATGTTATTAACTTTGCATACCCCATGAATGAGTATGAAACGTTGCTTTTATGCGCACAAGATGAAGGGAGACTCGTGGGTTCCGACGTCACGATCGCTTACCGTGAGAGTTATCAGGAGGTAGCTCTCCTTGTCCCTCCTGACTGTCGGAATGCCGATCACAACGTCAACGAAGGCCCTCTTCGACTTTAGGTGGTACGCGGGACGCAGGCTGAAGGGGCTGTTCATCAGATGCGGCATCAGCTGGTAGACGTAGGGCGAACGCAGCTGCTGAATATTCTTCGGGCGCACGCCTTGCACCGCCTTGGTTCCTGCAGTAAGGAAGTTCGCTCATGCACTAGTTTTTTTCATGCAGCTATCAATATACACACTATAGATATCATATTATAATACATTATATAGATACATATTACATATTATCACACGCAAAAGCAGACCACGGGCTGACTCTTTTTTTTGGTCAACGTAGCCTTAAGACGTTCCAGATCATTCGACTAGTGCATAAACACTAATATGGTAAGATGCAGAAATTTTGGCAACATCAAAAGTGAAAAGTTAACAAAAATTAATAAATAACATTCGCTAAAATTAGAAGAAAAATTTAACGAAAAGCTTTTCACCGAAAAACTTTTTTAACGTACTTGATGTTTATTTATTTATTTAGTGCAGATATTGGCACTGTAACAAAAAATTTCAAATATCATTCGCTGTAAAGCAACGGGAAATAGCAAAGCGATTGCGTACATAACGCAAGCACTTTGCAAACATTCGCAGAACCGGATCCGATGTGAAACGGCTGTCATGGCCTAGGGGAGAATTATGGAGTGATTGACACGTGTACATAGACCATGTACGCAGGCTCAGATACACTCGACAGCACGTCATGTGCAGCTAATTCAATCGGTAGCGTCTGATATGTCTATTCACTAACTCGCCCGTGGCGAGATGCTAACGATACCCCCCTTTCCGACAAGGGGGCGTACTCCGAACCGTTAAACGAAATCGATTCGATACGCTTGCGTCGAAAACAATGTGAATAATGCGCGTTATGTGCTGCACGTGTCGCTTCTTATGCCCGATTCAGACGAGAAAAATTTCCTCGCTAAAATCTCCGCTATAGACTTAGCTGTTAAATTTTAAACATGAAGAGGGGGAGATTTTTTATGCTTAGGCTAGTAGGCTTCTTCACATGGTACACTTCACTCGGATGTTGTCGGCGTTGTCAAAAACAATATATCAAATATATACTGTGTAATTTTTCACTTTATACGCATGCCGATCACGTGTGTTTAATCGTGCTCCCAATCGAATTTAACGGGGAAAATGGAGCATGTTCTATCAGTAAAATCTAGTCGCTTCGAGCGACAAAGCCCGCAGTGACGTCACTTTCTGTCTCCGCAGCGAACTTAGTTCCAGATCCAGCGAGAAACTTTCCTCGTGCTCACCGGGCTTTTGGTATGCGATAATTTTAGTAATAGATTGTTGGGGCATAAGGCCGTTCGGACGAATCCTGCATACTTCGCAGCAGGTAGACAGAGACAAAGCAATGAAATCTGACACCAGGAACAGTGCATTTCGAGCGTAAGAAGCGGTTTACATTTGCGCATGCGATGGGATTTGCTACGGAAGCGATTTTCCTGACCATGACATTTTTCTAGTATACACAATCCATAGATAAAAACACTATAACGCTGACCTCAAATTAGTAATGCAATGAAATGAAAAAAAAAAAAAATGACCATGAACAACTCAAAAGTAAATAAATCTGATGTTATGTAAATGCCAGCCAATCTTAATTTCCATCAACAGTGAGGTGACCACACTGCAAATAGAAGGCAGAACCTGAAGCATTAGCATAATTGATTGATTAGAAATTAGGTATGCGTTATATTAAACATTGTCGTACGTTGTGATATAGTATGAGTGTATGTGTAATAAAACTGAAAACCTTATAATTCCGCTATTATTCTAATAATTTGACGGCTTCATATACAACCAAAACTATTTCACACAGCATAGGTCAAACAATTTCATTGTAGGAAGAAAGAAACTTAAAAACAGTTACCGATCATATACAGATTATATACATACTTTGTGCTGAAGAATCTAAATTCGTTTATTTATTTAAATTATATGAAAAAATAGGCCAGCATACACGGATGCATAAATATAAAACAGAAATGGAGATGAATGAAAATGCTGCGGTACACGCTTTGATTATATACTTGTATATGAAAAGTATATAATCAAAGGGTACACGTTTGCCTTACCAGTGTAGTTTTTTATTATCATTGATATTTCTGGCGGCAGAGTGGTTGGCGTTCCGTCGTACAGTTGGGGGGTCGCGTGACGTTGGCTGCCATTCCCGCGGTGTACCATGAACTTGTTCTGAGAATATAAGAAATTAAGTACTCTGGTGGAATAGTAATTGTTGAAAAAATTATCGCACTTATTTATACGAATTTTATATATACAGATAAAATTTGGTTGGGTTGTATGTAGGTACGTAATGAAGAAAATAATAAATCAATTCTAAAATATTTTTTTCCCTGAACGGTCACATTAAAGGCATTTTTATTTTATTACAATGATAAGTTTATAATTACAAACATCTTGGAGATTACGATCAAGTTTTTTGATTTCATTTAATATAATTAACGAATTTTTGATTTCATTTAATTTAATAACGTGACAAAATTCTGAAAAAATTGCCTTAGTGAATAAATCAGAAATATACAGATTTTGTTGGAATGCAATGTCAGCGCATTGAGCCGTATATAATACTAGTACTACCTACTACTTAAGTCGGTAGTACTAGTATTAGGTTATTTATACTATCCGGACTCATCCTCAAATCACGATAGTTGATTTCTCCAAAAGGAATTTTTTTACCAACAGCTTATGCTCGAATGGGCAGCCTGACAGAAGACCGAAACGAAGTGGAAGTATTAAACTTTCTGAGGTAAATTTAAACAATAATACTTTTAAAACTTTTGAAACTGGTAAAAACTTTTTGAAGATTGTAAACGCACCTGCAAGCCCTCGGGTGTTGTAGATGTCCATGGGTGGCGGTGCTCACTTAATCAAACCGAAATAAAGCGTCCGCTCGCTTGACAACTTCACTACATAGAATAAAATAAAGTCATCCCGCTCTCTGTCTGCCCTTATGGCTTGGATCTTTAAAACTACGCAACGGATCTTGATACGGTTTTTTTTACTAGATCGAGTGGAAGGTTTTCATGTATAATACAATGCGCCCGTGCGGAACCGGGGCGGGTCACTAGTTTCACATAAAAAAAAGAAAATAGTTACCTGCAAAGCAATTAGGTCCTCTTGTCGAGCCCGGTACAAGGAGTCCAGGAACTGCAGATGAGATTGTAGTTCCGCAATGCTCTCTTCCATCCGATCCTCCCGTGGCATATTGGCTACGAGAAGAAAGCATTTATGGGTTAAAAATCTAAGGTTTAAAAACCTCCTTGTGAGATACGACTGTTGATAGAATATTTCTAAGTCAAGGATTAGATTGTGTAAAATAAATATATATTATATAAATACTTCGATTAGGCATTTTTTCTTAATTTAATATTTTAAATGTACGACTATAAGTTCTTTCAAGGTTTTTCAAAATTTCCCGGAAGTCGTTTTTAAGTTTGTACCTAATTTGGTAAATCGTATTTCAATTGCATTAGAATTTTTTCAATTGAGTTTCCAATAAATTTTAACATAACTTAGTTGAAGTATTCATCGTCAATACATATGTATGTACCCATATGTGTATATCACTGAAGATTTACACATATGGGTATATACATATATAGAGCGTTTAATATTGGGTAGACAGGACGATGAACCTGATTCTTTAGAACTGCGAATTAGTTTAAGTGAAAAATTATTAATACGAAGTCGCTGTATTGTGAGCCCGCCGAGCTGCCACTTGACCTGCAGGCCTATAATGGACAAGTAAGTGATTTTGTATTATTGCCGCTTGATTGTCCGCCTCGCTTCTTATCGGCCACATCGTGAATACACCGCACGGAGCGTGTATGTGTGAAGAGCCGGCGCAATTGTGTTATAATGAAAAGGGAAATACAAATTACGCGAATTAAGAATCATCTAGAAAGAGGGGTCCTTAACCTAGACTCGTGATAGATTCTCGATATAATCTCAAGGAGATAAAGGTTACTACGTTTTACTGCTACTCTTTACGTATTGTAACTGGCATTGATATATTAGTTTTATAAAGTGGCATGCATCATCGTCAACTATACAGTCTCTCTGTAGGAGACCCTCTATATAAAGCTTATTTTCCTAGCTTATCCTATATTGTATGTTAAATTTCATTTATCATATTGTTGAACTGTTAAACTTGTGTATTTTTTATTATTTGTTTTGCAATTACGAACGCTTTGAAGCATTCATGGTCATAGAAAGAACTAAGATATTAAATGGGTTTAAGATCAGCTTTTCCAAGCAGAAACCAAGATTTGAATTTTTTTTCTTCTTTTAATTTAAAAAAACATTGCTCTTACTTTAGGATAACATTATTCTGTGTTGTAGGGACATTTTACAAACATAAATTTCACGCGGACAAACACCCAGATGCGAAACTACCTGTGGGTCACACAAATAGTTGTCCCGTGTGGGAATCGAACCCACGACCCCCGACGCCGAAGCCAATACCTTGGCAACTGTGCCACGGAGTCATCAAATTAAATGAGAATATATACAACATCAATTCGGTACAGAAAAAACCGAGGAGACGTTAAATAAAGAACAATAAAAAAAAACAATTGAAATGAGTGTGTAAATGTTAACATCAATTCATTGGTGTCTAGTAGAGGAAGAAATAAAGTGTTTGAAAACTACACGTATAAAATTCATTGGGGTTTCTTAAAGGTCATTATTTTTAATCACATGATTATTTTCTGAATTTTTATATTTCATTTCAATATTTTTGGGAAGGTTCTCATAAAATTAGCTTGTTTAATTTAGTCGCTTGTCGATAATCGTGTAATATTATTTTTGTTCATGACCATGCACAAAGTATTGTGCACGCAGGTGATGATGCACAATTCTTTGAGAATGATCACCTTTATACCAAGGTTATAAGGGCACAGTCAACCAATCGACCTTAGTTCCTATTGGCGGACTTGATATATCTAGAAAAACATTTTTTTCATTACTCTTTCGAAAATACAGCTAAAAAATGCAGGTTTCTTCGCGATTCTTTGCTTCATCGCTAAGCGCGTGATAATTCAGCATTTAAATTTGCAATTAAAAATGTCATTGGTGTCAGCACCAGATATTTAGCTCAGGTTCCGCAAGTATACTATATTAAACATACAACATAGTAGAAAAATCTTGTTAAAATATTGACATCTATTTGGCTAGTGGGTTCTCAAGCTTTAAATTTATAAATTTTAGTCCGATGTACGCGGAAAGTGCTAAAGGTTTATCTTGGTCTCGTTTTTTTCTAAATTTAATTTCAATTAATTTCTAAAACCCAAGCCTTCAACTTAAGTCCATATTCAGAAGTTTCGTTCCCGATTGTCCCCTCGTTTTTGTTCCAAGCCGCTGAAAAGGAACTGATCTCTCCGACTGCATTGTGTGCGAACGAACGCTAACGAACTTAAAGCAAGTCGCACCATTGAATGTTACTGTGACAGTACTTAACTTATTTAAGAAAAGAAAATAGTGCAAAAGTTTATAAGACTACTCAATTTGCTAAATGCTATTCACATTTAGACGACTAGTTAAACGTCAGGTCAGTAGATGATTCTGGGTAAAACTCTGTTGAGACAGCTTTGTTTAGTTTTCACTACCGAAGAAATCGGTAGTGAAGTAAAAACTTATTCAATGATATCGTTTCTCGTCGATAATAAACAGTATAATTATATATAATATATATATATATATATATATATATATATATATATATATATATATATATATAGAAAAAAACTGACTGAATAAATGTAAAAGAAAATATTTGTTTATTTTCGTATCGGAAAGAAGCGAGACTCTACCGGGCATGCCTCGGTGTGTCGACTTATTCACTCAGGATTCCCAGTAGGGCTGTAAACAGATTTTCCTTTAAGTAAATAAGAGTAACGGCTTGGTGTCTTTTACCGAGGTTTCCTATACGGCGCATATGCTAGCTTTTTTAGACGATGGATCAAAAGCTGAACATATCCCCAGTATAATCATGAATGCAGAAATAGATTTTTACTCTGCTGATTTTTATAGTGTTGAGACATGAATAGTAGCAATAAGCGATAAGCAGAAACAGTCTCGCGAAAGCGTCGGTTGGGACAGACATAAACCCCATTGAGCAGGGGACGAACTGGGACGTGTACGTCAGCGGCATCTGCCGCCAATCACGGCACATAAAATTAAAGCTCTAATAGAGGAATGACAGAATACGCATCATCGCATCAAAAACCTAGTAGAAAGTACGCTAAATCGCATAACAGCAGTACTGCAAGCTCGTGGAAGTAAGACAAAGTACTAAAATGCGTGAAAACGGCGCATCCATAACCAATCTACATTTACGAAAATACTGGAAAATCTAAGCATTTTTATTTTTTTTAACAAGAAACACCTTGAGTTTTTTGTTTTATTTAGGCATATTAAAATATTCTTTAACTAGCTGACTCGGCAAACGTTGTTTTGCCATATAAATTATTTCTAGAGGAATCGGAACGCACGCATAAAGTGTTTGACAGGTTACACAGACATAGTAGACAGGTTGAAAGGCACAGTTTGTATGGGAAAACAAAATTTTTCCTATTTCGATTTTCCATGCAATTTTTCAATAGTTTTTCAACGTTTAAACCTTCCCTGGACTGCCACGAATATATCAAATCCAAAATTAGCCAAATCGGTCCAGCCGTTCTCGAGTTTTAGCGAGACTAACGAACAGCAATTCATTATTATATATAAGATTTAATCTTTATTTCGTAAAGGTAGGTGTGGGAGGTAGGTGCTTCTAAAGAATTTCAAAATTTTCTTTGCGGACAGACCAATTTTCCTTGCGGTAGGATACACTGGGTATTTTACTTCGTAGTCCACAGGTCTAATCGATATCGTGTGCTCGTATCTGACCACCGCAATGTCACGCAGATGTTTATTTTCAAGGAGTTCAAACAAGCCGCGGAGCACCCGTGACATAAGCACTTGGCCCACGCTTATGTCACGCTCACGCAAACAAAGGGTTATCGAGAAATTGATTATGATAAGGGAAACAAGAACATGTACATTGATTGCAGTTGACCGCGATGATTATATTTAAAGAGCATCGTTGTTTTAATTGGAACACACACACCACAACCTCCGACATGAATGTCTTACGGCCATTTTCAATATTCTTTCTGTAGTTTTGGTTACTAGCGATAGGTATTTGATATTGGCACCATAATAGTTAAGTCATAATTCCGTCTCCAGTAATCAAATCTACAGACAGATAACATATTTAAAACGGAAGTTAGTCGTTGATAATCAAATAATGCACGGCCCACAGTAAAGGTTAAAACAAACAAAATAGATTACTAATTTTGTTGAAAAATTGTGTAGATTTATGGAAATGAGAACAAATCTGCGTGTTTTCATGGCGTATTGTAACGTGGAATCTAATTTACCACTACAAAACACGCCGCATGGGGAAAAAGCAAATAGGGATTCCGTTTGCTTTGCTTTTCATGTGGGTGGAAACTGAGTTTCGCTTGCATGGGAGGAATGAGAACGGCTTAATATGGCATCATTTCGTTGGAGAAACGATGTTAATGCAGAGACTCGGGTAAAAAGCTGTTAATAAACCGTGGCGGCTCGTCTTTAGACTCAAAATGAAAATATAGCCTTAATACACGAAGCGGTATGCCAGAACAAATTATTCTTAGGATTAGTTTTTAGTTTAGGCCTGTATTTTTTTGCTAAGGAAATTAATACTCGTATATCAAAGTGCGGTATGTACCTGCATTTTAATACAAACATAAAATTATCAGGGAGCTATAGAAATATGTTAAATAAAAAGCCTTAAAATGCACTAGATCATTTTGATAGGTTGGCTCAAAACGTTACGATTCGAGGATACTTCATAACAACAAACAAATAATTATTTTGTAAAGATATTAATAAACTAGCTGCTGCCCGCGACTACGTCTGCGTAAAATAGGCTGAAGGCGTAACATTCAGACAGAAAGTGAGATGCACATATAATATGTAGTACCTGGAGGACCGAGCTTTGCTCGTTTTGTGTTTTTTTTTTGGTAAATCGTGTATTTTGGAAATTACATTTAGATACAAATAACTGAGTAATGAAATATGCATAATCTTATCCTTTAAACGAGCAATTCTTGTATATATATATATATACAATACATGTGAGCAAAGTGTGTTAAGACGGAAGACGTGTGCTGAGATATAAAAT